GCGATTGTATCACATGTGGAATTAGGGCTAGATTTGCAGGTTCCTTAATATACAAGGTCCGCCCATACAAGCCTCACCTTTGAGATTTACGATACGAGGTGCCATAATGGCGGTGTTGGAGTGAGTGACTATTGTGTTAATGTTGGGCTTGTGAGTGCTTTCAAGTTTTCAATTACTATTCTGACAGGTGAATTGCAAGTTCATTTCTACTGGTAGGAAGAGGCACGTCTAGTTCATCTATAGTTTGAATGATATATGTCTATTTATCCCGTCGGTCAGGTTGGAGGTAGAGGAGCCTGGGATACTAATACAAGATCATTCTCTCGAATCTAACTACTATTACGCGTGAGTATTATGCTATGATGGACTACTATTGTCACTGGGTGATTTATCATCGATGAATCCCTTAGAATGAATGGATAGAGTGAGCAGGTCAATTGAGGTCTCTTCCAAACTCGGTCTAGCGTGATACAGCCAGATGACAGACTGGTAATACCAATACATCGTGCTCACTTAAGTTTCCGTCCAATGGGACGAACTTCTTCAATGCTCAGGCACTTTACAGCTGCTCTGCAGGCTCCTTTTTCCAACAACTGCTCCTCTATCGCTTGATGGATATACAGAGATTCCACAAATCCTAGAGGGATAACACCAATAAAATAAAATCACGTCGTGCACTCATCATGGCGGAAAACGCCTATCCTTACGACACTGCCATCGTCCGCGAACTGCTCAAAAATAAACGCAAGACCCGCGGCATCCGCTCCTGTTTCCCTTGCAGACACCGCAAGGTCCGTTGTGACGGAAGAGAGCCATGCTCCAACTGCATAAAGCGCGGCCATAGCGAGTTATGTCGTGTGCCGACTGCTTCCGGCAGCGAGGCGAGAGTGCCGCAACCTACACCGAGGGATGTGAAAGGGCCGAATGAACTAAATCTAGCTGCTGTGTATGTTCTCTTCGTCAGTCTTCGACAGCTTATTGACTCTGTGATAGAAATAGTACAATTGAAGAGGCGCAATCCCAGTCTTCAACTGACCCCAGCCTTCTCATCTCTAAGCTGGAGAAGATCGAGGAGCAAATTTCCTCGCTCAAGGCGGACCTACGCGCGACTGTTACGGCAACATCCCAAAGTCCTCATTCCGTTAGTGAGACTCGTAATAATGGCCAGTCGCGTACCCAACCAGCTAGTAAATCGCCTGGACGCTACTTTGTCGAAGACGCTACAGGCGCCACTATCTATCTGGGAAGCCACTCAGACACCCCTCTCGCACTGGGGTGTCGTCGAGCGTCGGCAGCGGGAGACACAATGCTGCATGATGCGCTAATCGACCAGTTTGTTCCACGGGCATATCCCTTCACTAATCTCTGGGGGGCGGAGGCGACAGCGAAGGCCGTCTGTGAAACATTGCCGGACGATTCGGATATCATCCGGTATGTATCTCTGACTTGACAGGATTTAGTTCTGAAGCTAGACGCTCTCGATATTTGCTTCCCCGAGACTAACTATCGTAGGTACTGGCAGGTCTACCAATCAATTGTTTACCCATTTTACCCGTCGCTGGTGACCATCGACGAGTTCGGCCCTGCTTTGTTCGCATTTTTAGACGAGCGAGTTGCAGCTGAAGAAGCTACAACTGAAGATTTCGGACCTGATTCATCTTGGCTGGCGCTATTATTCGCTGTGCTAGCTTGTGGGGTACAGTTTTCAGATGATCCGATCAAGGAGCGGGATTTGCGGTCAAAGGTCCTCAGTATGTTGATACTGCCTTTCCTTTGGAAAAGTTAGTATAAAACTAACAAATGTAGTTTGCTCATCCTTCCAATGCCTTCGCATGTCAAACTTTTTCAATCATACGAACCTGGATCAGATCCAGGCCATGACACTGATTGGGCATTGTTTGCGTAATAACCTGGATACCAACAGTGCATGGATACTGATGGGTAGGTATATGGCCCTCGACATCTAGCTACATATACTGATTGTGGAAGGTTCAACTATTCGATTAGCTCAGAGTATCGGTCTCCACGAGGCATCCCCATCTCTCCCAGAATCCGAGCAATTCCAGCGCAACAGATTATGGTATGCCCGCTCTATATAGTATATACTCCTGACTACACAGCTAAGAAAGGGATAGGTGGACAATCGTTTGGCAGGATACATTCCTCTCATTCACATACGACCGCCCCCCAAGTACAATCACAATGAGTTGCCCTATCCCGTATAGACAGCAAACCGGAGGCCTTTCATTCCAAGAATCCATTTTCACCATTTGCAACATTCTCCTCAACAAAGCACGACAAGAAACAGCTGGAAGCCTCGAAGACGCACAACAGAGTGCGCTCAGATATAAACGACAGCTAGAAAAAGTGTGGGATGACGCCGCCCCATTTTTCACGGACAAGGCCCGGTGCACGTCGGTACAAGCGCATCTAGAACGATTAGCCCTTGGAGTCCATTTAGGATATGGTATTTGCAGACTGAGCCGCGTGTATATGAGTGAGATGGAGCCTTCTTCTTCCCTTTACAATGGTGCTGCAATGGACTGTGTGAATCAGGCGATGCATGCGATCGAGAGCTTTCTTGATCTTCATCGGTTCTCAGCAAGCGTTTGTCGGTCGTGGGCGTTTGTGCATAACGCGGTTAGCTGTGCAATTACACTCAAGGGGCTGGAGACACCACCCACGGAGGACCAGCGGAACCCAGACGTGCTTGTCCGGCGCCTGATCGCAGTGTTAGAGAAAGAGGAGAAGGATTCTGAGTGGTGTGATGCTGATACGAATGTTCGGTATTTCGGGCCGTATTCTCGGGCCCTGAAAGCATTGCGAGAGATTTATCGAGAGGTCGCGGTGTGATATACAGCCAGGTGAGAGACATAACTCTCTACCGTAAGAGATATGCGCTCTAACTCAACCTTTATTTTATAATAGAGGAACAGTGTACAGCCCAACCCTAATCATAAACATCTATTCTATATCTAGTGTACACTCTATCCAATCTAACAATGATACATAGCCATCTATACCCTCCGCTTAGCCCTTACATAAAAGTTCAATGGCCGAATCAACTGAAACTCGGGGTCATAATCAATCGCCTCCAGTCCGTCCCTCACAAACTCATATCGACTCACCAACTCCGCCAACAAAATCTTAACCTCCAACAACGCGAAATTAAACCCGATACACCCCCTCGGCCCCGTCGCAAACGGAACATACGCACACCGATGCCTTCCCTTTACCTCCTCCGTATCCCACCGATCAGGATCAAACCGGAACGGATCCCGCCAGGTCTTCGGATTCGTATGGATAGCATACAACGCAGGGACAATAACGCTATCAGGCGGGAGACGATACCCGCCCGGAAGCACGACATCAGTCTTGGTGGTTCTTCCCGGCTGAAAACTGGCGTTGTGGAGGCGCTGCGTCTCCTTGACGAACTTGTCGAGGTAGGGCAGGCTGTGCGCGAGATCGGGGGTCCAGGTTGTCTGGTTGCGTTCGCCATTGGGGCTGACGATGCCGTGCTCTACGAGCTCGGCGTAGAGGCGATCCTGCGTGCCTTCGTAGGTGACCAGACAGTAGAGGAGCCAGGAGAGGAGCGCGGAGGTGGTGGTGAAGCCGGCGCCCGTGACGATGAGCATGTTGGCGAGGATGAGGCTCTGTGGGAAGTGCTCGCCTTTGTCGTCGACCGCGTGCAGGAGGTAGTCGACGACGCAGGAGGCACTGAGCGCGGCTTCGTTCATGGGAGCGTCGGCGATGCCGGAGCCGGCGACTTCATCGATGGCTTCCTGCAGCAATGTGTAAATGGTGTGCTGGACCTGACGGAGACGGGCCGGGTCACCGAAGGGGAGGTGGCGGTACCATTCACCACGGGCGGTGATCTTCTTATTGAGCGAGAGGAGGCTGGCGATGTTCGTGACGATCGGGTGAAGGGGGCTGTCGACTGAGTCGAAGTGGCCGAAGTCTTTGCCGAGAGAGAAGGACCCGATGGTCTGCGAGGCCAGCTTGACCATGTACTGGTAGACATTCCAGGACTCGTCGCGGACATCCAGCTCGTCGAACACGGGTAGAGACTTTCTTGCGCAGGTTTGCATCAGGCCTGTATAGTGTCGTACGGCCTTGGGGCCCATGGCGGGTGGGAGGTATTTGTGGGCGAGGCGCCAGTTTTCAGTCTCGGTGTCGCCGATGAAGATGGCGGTGTTGTCTTTGACGCCCCAGAGGGGGTGATTCTCGTTGATATTCTTGGTCATGTAGGCTGATTCTGTGAAACAGACGGAGGCGACCTGTGGATCGTCCGTGAGGTAGGTAGTTTTGCCCATGTTGGTGGTTTTAATCACTGGGCCGTATTTGCGAAAGAGGCGATAGTGATTCCCCAGATGGTCGGGGAATATCTCGTAGAAGCTGCCAACCAGAGGCAGCCCTGGTGGTCCTTGGGGGGTTTGTACGGCATTGCCGTCGATTCGGAGGCCGATGGGAGATGATCCAGCAGAGATAATGTCGGCGACGGACGGCAACGTTTCGTTTTCGGAGGTGTGGAAGGAGATGCCTGCAACGTTAGGGCTTCTGGCAAGGAGGAAGTATAGGTGAAAGCCTTACCTGTTGGCAAAGCGACATGGAAAACTCCTCCGACAGCACGCTGGAGGTCTTCAAACTTCCAGCGCGAGTCTACTTCGATGGACTGCGCAGTGGCGATGTTGTCGCCCACGAGATAGAACTGACACTGCATGGTGAATATCAATGCTCGAACTACCTGACTTAGTCGAAGACTCACCTGGAAATGACATTAATATATACCTTAATGGATTCAAATGTGAAGATGCCATCCGAATAACCGTCCCATGTTGATCTTCGCTACGTCGGAGACATCGTCCGAAGTTCGTACGAAAGTCGCCCGAGGGTCATGGTCTGGACAGAACGGCACAAGAGTCGCAGAAGACAGTCGAAGATATAAATGACTCAGTTGTCCATGCCTACTTGTAGAGGTTCAAGCTGCATATATTATTAAAATGCCGTCCTTCACCCTTGAACAGGTCCAAAAGCACTGCAAACCAGACGACGTCTGGATTGTCCTCCACAACAGGGGTGCGTCTCTTCTATCATGTAGGCGGAATGATATTGACTGCTCATAGTCTACGATGTGACCAAATACCTCGAAGACCACCCCGGTGGGAGCGCCATTCTCGTTGAGGTCGCTGGCACCGACGCTACAGAGGCTTTCGAGGAAGTCGGGCACTCCGACGAAGCCCGGGAACAGTTGGAGCCTTTCTATGTAGGCGACTTACCGACAGAGGTAAAGATTCATTCTATCTATAATTGATCCCTATACTCACGAGCCCAGGAACAAACCGAACCCGTCGAGATCTACCGTCCAGCCTACGAGCAAGTCTCGCAATCCGCAGCTGTCAACGTCAAAAAAGCCACCTCCTGGTCATCCATAATCCAAACAATCATAAAATGCGCCATGGCCGGTCTAGCAGGCAAAGCCGCCATAACAGCCTACCACCGCGGCATAACCACCACCGAGATAGCCTACGCTCTGCGTTCCCTTACCAAATCCGTCTCTCCCCACCAGGGCCCAGGCCACGACGGAACCCACTTCTGGGCCGGCGTGGGCATCGCCAGCGCAGTGCAGTTCTCCCTAACCCTAGGCCTGGGCACGTGGATCTCAACCAAGCTAGACGTGCAACAAGAATTCACTCACTACGCACCGCGTCGACCAGCCAAAACAGCACGTATGATCAAGCTGCCCCGGACCAACCTGCCACTCAAGAAACCGAGTGTCTTGGATCCACGCAAATGGCGCTCATTCACCCTGACCCGCAAAACGGAAGTCGCGCCACATGTATATCGATTCATCTTTGCTTTGCCCAATCCAGACGACATCCTCGGCCTGCCGACGGGCCAGCATATCGCCCTACGAGCGACAATCAACGGACAAAGCGTCTCCAGATCGTACACCCCTGTATCGAACAACAGCGACGTGGGCCGCATTGAGCTACTCATCAAGGTCTACCCCAACGGAGCGATGACCCAGCACCTGGCGCAGATGAACGTAGGCGAGTCGATCGAGATCCGCGGGCCCAAGGGCGCAATGCAATATTCCCGACAATACGCGAAGCATATCGGGATGATCGCAGGTGGAACGGGCATTACACCCATGTACCAGCTCATTCGGGCCATCTGCGAAGACGACGCCGACAAAACGCAAGTGTCATTGTTGTATGCGAATAACACGGAAGAGGACATTCTGTTGCGCACGGAGCTGGATGACTTCGCGACGCGTCATCCTGAGAAGTTCCAGGTGCAGTATGTGCTGAGCCAGCCCGGGGAGACGTGGCAGGGTTACCGGGGGTTTGTGAATGGGGATCTTATTGCGAAGCATTTGGCGCCTGCTGCGCTGGAGAATAGAGTGTTGTTGTGTGGGCCGCCGCCGATGTTGGCGGCGATGAAGAAGACCTTGCAGGGGATGGGGTGGACGATGCCTGGGGCTGTTTCTAAGGCTGGCGATCAAGTGTTTTTGTTCTAGAGTGTAGATAGAGAATTTATTTTGGGTTGGCTTTATGGTTCATCTATTACTTTACTCGGTCAGTGTCAGGTAACCAAAGTCAACAAGTATTGTATACTGGATATACACAATGTCAAGTAATGTTTGATGAATCTTAGTGGAATGCATAGTATGCTACCAGACTCAGAACTTGAAATCTTCGCATCAGCACACAGTTACATGCAGTCTGCAGATAATTCATCGTTTCATTAAAACTAGTCAACCAGGCACACTATACCATGACACCAGAGAACAGAGAAAAACAAACCCCCATTGAGTAGTACTAAATCCACCTCAGAAACACCAACGCAAAAACCACAGCAGTAGTTAGTATACACCAAACACCAAACACCAAACACCATCCACGGCTAACCGGCACTACACTAGCACAAGTCGCTCCTTACCAACAGCCACCGTAAAATCTCAAAACACTTACGGCACCCACTTACCGTTGCCCGAAAATAGTAGCACACCAAGCCGATAAAGAGTGCATGGAATGGTTCCAAAGTTCGGTCCATAGGGTTAAGTATCCGCTCCGTCACCATTCCGAAGTATCTCCATACCGAATCCGAGGGTGTCCGAGAGACTTGGACCGGCTCAACAATGGGTATCGGATATCGGCATGCACGGCAGATGTATCCATATACGGGATCTGGGTGCTCTGTTGTGCATAGTGGGTAAAGTATATAAGGGCTGGGTATGGTAGAGAATGGGCTTTGTATATGAGCTAATATAACTCAGCATATCCTCAGATATTGATCTATATTCTATACCCTCATATTATCTATATCACAGCATATACATAATGTGCCAGCCATCACCACGTCCCATCGTGGTTCTTGGAGCTGGGGTCCTAGGCCGCCGCATTGCCTCCGTCTTCCTCGCAGGCGGATACAATGTGCATATCCGCGATCCCTCCCGCGAAGCCCTCTCGGACGCAGCCAGCTACATCGATAGCCACCTCCAAGACTTCACAGCTCTTACCCCTTCGCAACGCACCGCTGGTACATACAAGACCTTCACCGACATCCCCGCCGCCGTATCAGACGCCTGGCTCGTTGTGGAAGCCGTACCAGAGAAACTACCTTTGAAGATCAGCACGTTTGCAGAAGTCGACCGCAATGCGCCGGCAGACTGCATCATTGCGTCCAACAGCAGCTCTTTTAAATCAAGGCTTATGCTGGACGAGGTGAACCCCGCGAGAAGGGAAAGGGTGCTGAATATGCATTTTACGATGCCGCCTGCGATCCGGACAGTGGAATTGATGACGGATGGAGAAACGAGCGAGAAGCTGTTCACGTTGTTGACGATTGTATTGAAAGAGTGTGGCATGGTCCCTGTGACGGCGAGACGGGAGTCAACTGGGTAAGTTCTTGTCTTCTCCTCTTGACATAGGACGTAGTGCCTGTTTGTGGAATGTCGGCTGATTGAGACTAGGTTCATCTTCAACCGTCTCTGGGCTGCCATTAAGCGGGAGATCATGGTGATTCTTGCAGAGGAAGTCAGCTCCCCTGAAGAAATCGATCTCCTGTGGGAGAACATGTTCCAGCTTCCGTCTAGCTTGCCTCCGTGCCGACTGATGGATCAGATTGGTCTGGATACAGTGGCGTTCATTGAGGATAACTATATCCAAGAGAGGGGACTAGACAGTCGCATGACTGTCGACTGGCTGCGCGAGAAATATATTTCCCCTGGGAAACTGGGAGTCAAGAGTGACAAGGGCGGATTGTATCCTCCCACGGCCGTGGAAATTGGTATTGCCGAGGATGAGGAGACTTTGTATTTACTCGACGTCGGTCTGGGATCGAACAACCCTGATATCTCGCGCGTTCCAACCGCCGGACGAATTCTCAAGTACCACCCGGGTACGGGAAAGAGAACCACTATCATTGAAGGACAGTCCTTGCCGGATGGGATTGATGTCTCGCGGACCATGTCTCGCATCTTCTGGACAAATATGGGTCGCTCGACAGCCACACATGATGGCTCTGTGCACTCGGCAAACCTTGACGGAACGGATGTCCGGACTCTCCTGCCCTCTGGTACGGTGCACACGCCGAAGCAACTGGTCGTTGATGATATCAATAACAAGGTCTACTTCTGTGATCGTGAGGGCATGGGCGTGCACCGAGTCAATTTCGACGGAACCGATCACGAGGTTCTGGTTCGCACTGGTTCTCTCGATAAGCCCGAGGAAAGAAAAGATATGACGCGATGGTGTGTCGGTATCACCTTGGACGTGGATCGAGGGTACATCTACTGGACGCAGAAGGGGCCCAGCAAAAGTGGCCAGGGCCGGATTTTCCGAGCCGGGATTGACATCCCAGCGGGCCAGACGGCGGATAATCGACGGGACATTGAGCTCCTGTTGGAAGGTTTACCTGAACCCATCGACCTGGAACTGGACGCGGAGAATCAGTTGCTGTACTGGACTGATCGTGGCGAACATCCAACTGGGTGCTCGTTGAATCGGGTGGAGGTTTGTGGGAAGGCCGATAAAGAGAAGCTTCAAAGTGAAAAGAAAATCTTAGCTAGGCAATTCCACGAGCCTATCGGGATTAAACTGGACAAGAAAAAGCAAGTGTATGTGACGGATTTGGGAGGAAGCGTATATCGAGTGAAGGGTGGGAAGAAGACTGTGATGTTTCGGGACAACGGCTGCTATACTGGAATAGCTATCATTTGACCATGTTGATGAATGCTTAGAGAGATAGAATCATAGAATCATAGAATCATAAATATTACATATTAGTCTTCATAGCCTATCTCGTATTCGGCTGTACGGAGAATGGATATAATTCCTAAATAGCAGTTACGGTCATCAATTCCATTCTGATGCAAACTTGGGGGATGCAAGGACCTGATATTCAATGGTTTTCAATTCACAAACCGAAGACTATATCATGCTCGAATATAGTTTTACATATCAATTCACAAGACGATTGCCTGTACCCTTATGCCGAACGATATTACCATTTGCCAATGCTGAAATCTGTTGATTGAAGATGGTGATGTCCTACTAAAGTATGTTTTTATGACAACAAATCCATGAACTCGAAAATCAGATACAATAGCCATGCAAGGTACGAGTATATGTAATTGGTAATGTATGGGATATCTTCCTAGTTGAAATATGGCATAGCGCTATAATCAAACATTTGAGTCATCTACTATAGTCATACAGTGATATTTACTTAACAGCCTAGTCATTGATTCTCCAGAATGTCGCCCTGTCGGATCAAATACTACGATGAAAATCAGGGCAATCAGAACCTATTTTCCGATAGACGTATCAGAATACCTAACAGGATGGCGGATTAGAAATGATCGCGTGCAGGAGGGACGCCAGAGACTCATGGGGTAAAGAATCACCAATATCTTGAAGCCGTGTTCTATGTACGACTACTCCTTGCCTCGACAATCATGAGATGACTTATCTGCCACCAACAGCCTGTTAGTAATGGGAACAATAGATAGCTTGCGCAAAAACAGCATATGAACAATAAGGAGAAAAAAACCAAGCCCATCATATCATGGAAATCCCCTGCAAAAACTCCAGAACCACGTCATCAGTAGCCTTCGTCCTCGGCTTGTTGATACACGTGTCGCGTTCTGGTGGGGTCTTTGCGCATCTTTTGACCAGACCCAGTAAAACCCACTGCCGATGTAAAGATTAGCCATGGTCTATCGGGCACCAGGTCGTGACAAGCATACCTCGGGCGCTAACACTTTCTCCGGTTCGGAACATGCTCTCTTTCCGACCCAACTTTCCCTTGCTGGCAAAATCCTTCCACTTCATCTTACCCTCCTCAAGCTCCCGGTTGGCTTTGACCTTCCGAGGCGCCTTTGCGGGACGCGCTGGGCCATCGCCTACCTTGCTTGGCTCTTTCCGCGCCTGATTCGCCAATGCGGGGTTGATATCTGCAGCTGCAGAGATCACGCTCGAGTTTGGCAGCTGAGGTGCTGGGGATTGGGATGCGGAATTGCCTGAGCTTCCATCAGCCTTGCGTTTACGAGAATCATTGCCAGAGATAGGCCTGAGGTCTTTTGCAGTTAATGATTCAACAGTGCCGTAGGACTTGAAGGAGACCAGGTAGACAGGGTTGCTGGAGGAACCGGTGATGGATGTAATGCGCGCGGGGTAGAAGGAGTTGTCGCCCGAAGTCCAGCGGGCAAGAACATGTTCATTGATCGAGAACGATGCCGGTGGGGCGGACTCTTCCGTCTGCTCAACTGTTGGCTTTCGATAGCCCGTCTGAGACGTGGGGTAGCTATCCCGGGGTCCTTGCTCTTTTACCGATTTCGACGTGGACGGAGCGGGAGGTTTGAGCTCGGCGATGGAGGTTTCGGTGAGGTTGATAAGTTCTTCCAGCTCAGTTTTGAGACTCTGAAGTTCCGTATTATCTGGATCTACCTGCAAACTCGATTGGACGGTTTCAAGCTGCACCAACTGAGTTAGAGATCGAAGTTCCACAACCATTTGACAGATATACCTGTAACTTGAATTCCTTGACCTCGGCCTCCAGAGCTGCCACGTCCGACATTGTGAAATATTAAAACGGGTTGTAAAAGAAACAAACAGGGTCAAACAAAACAGTGAATTGTTAAGATAGACAAAAGGAAAAAGAGAGAATGTGCTATTGAAGGAGACCAATACTGGATCTTCAAACTATTTGCAGAGGGCAAAGATAAGAGACCCAGAGAGAAGTTGGGATAAGATAGTGCACGTTCCCCTTGGGGTTAGTGCGTCACGTGAGGGTCCCTTCTGCAGGTGGGATGCACTCCAGTCGTCCTCACCATCAGTCGATATGGGAGTGGATCTCCCCCCATTAGCTTAATTTCTTTAAGAATCTATAAACTACACTTATTATAGTTAGAAGGCACTTGGGGAACTGATGACGATCCTACAGTGATGGCTTGAAACTGAATATCACGTCAACCCGGATTAACGGAGATTCAGCTTGTGGAACAGAGTCAAATCCTGTTGCCACCTGGTGCTCACGGGCTACTTGTGGCGCACCTTGAGAAGATCCAGGTCCTTACCGCGTTTCACTTATCAAACCCATGGCAGCAGTTGCCCAAGAATGGTAGCAGATATTGGGCTTCCAGGGGGGATGAGTTCTTCGAGATTTCCCCATTTCGTCGATCTACATAAAACAAACTGTTTATGAGTCACGGAAGACCCGACCTCGGAGGGAATTTGTCCAATCGGTAGATCAATTGGGACTTATCTGCGAGGATTTGACGATAAGGGCGGATGTTCCACGCTGGGCATTCCCTGGAGATGAAGATCGCATATATAGCTGGACTGTTTACATGTAGAAAAACGAACAAGACAAGTGATATTGTAAAACAGGAAGAAAAACTGGAAAAGTAACCATATAGCAAGAAGGGGAAATAAAGACAAGAGGATAATATCTCCACGAAACAAAAATGTGCCCATCTTATCAGTCGACCGAGACCTCCGATACATACTAGTCAAGCCCCGATGTGGAGAAGAACTTCGGGATGGGATCTGCTGAGTGGCGGGAACCAAACGGCTTTAAACACGAGGGAATGGAAAGTGGCAGAAAAGGCGCAAAGAAAAAAGAGGGTCTGGCCTGATTTCTAAGCAGCAACGAGGATTTTCTGGTTCCGAACTAGCGTCCACGATCCGTCGCCCTGATTGGCTTCTATCAGCAACCCTGGGGTTAGGCAACCAATAGCCACGCGCTAAAGGGGCGGCCGCTCCAAAGACTGGTACCTCAGGCTAGTCATCGCTGTACCGCATCGAATGACTGCAATGCATCGGCTCATCTCTTCCCCTCTCACGCCAACTCGTCCTCTTCTTTCTTCATCCTTCCCCCTGGTCTTTTCTCTAGCATTCGCTTCCCCCCGTCCATTGGTTCCCTGTCACCCTGAAGTAGGCACCAATTGATCTGACGTATTTCGATTCATTCTCAATACTTTTGCTCCGCCTACTACTCCGTTTCTAGCCTCATTCGCCTCCCTCCGAGCCCCTCCTTTCACACACCTCGCCCTGAGCCTACCTTGGGATCAACCTGCATCTTCTTCACCTCACCCTCTGTTTGATCACCTCTACGTGTCTTGAAGCTCCTAGTTATCGTGCATCGCGGTTTATCTACTGTCGGACCATCCTGCTGCTTTTCCTGGTGTCTGTACACCTCTTCCGAGAACGCCAATTTTTATTTTTTTTCATCAGTCACTTGCACCTGCCTTTGCCGGAGCTTAGCCAGTTGCTGTCGATTTCAAATTGTAGTTGGAAGTATCTCTCAGTTGATACGTCCTCGAACCCTTGCAAACTTGCACCGTTTTCCGCCATCGCTGTAGCGCCAATCCTCGACGCTACGTCTCTTCAATCACTGTCGCTTTGATTATTCCTCTTGAATCATTCATCACACAAGTATCTTCTCATCACTAGTGATTTCATACGATAGAACGAACGGGCGGGAAGCCCGGCCTTGCTATCAGAACGGTCCAAACAGCCTAGTCGAGTGTTTGATTCAGATTTGATTGCAGGCCTATCTTAGCATACGAGTGGTCCCGGCGTCTGTATATTTTCGCATCTCTATTCTGCTTCGGAAGATACGATAATCACGATGGCCGATTTTAATACCCTCTATCATCAAGGTCTTTATCTCTCCCCCGATCAACAAGACCTTCTTCTTGCCGCTCTTTCCTCCAATCAGCCCCCTCAAAAGCAACAGAACGATAAGCAACGATCCCAAGCGAAGACAGATCCAGACAGTACTCCTGGGAACATGTCGTCTGGCAGCTTTACCATGTCACCAGGATTCAATAAGTCGCATCCTGGCTCTGGTGGGCTGGGTTATGGAGATGATGAGAGCCCTTTCTTAGACTTCAACCCGGAGCTTGACTTCGATTTTCCAGGCTCCGACAATCTAATTGGTGACCTGCCGGAAAGTGTCCCCTCTGATGATCATGAGGTAGGCGAAAAACGGAAGGATATGTCGGACAACGAAAACGAAGAGTCGGGAAAGAAGCGCAGAGAAAGCGATGACAAAGCAGCGAAAAAACCAGGTAGAAAGCCGTTGACTTCAGAGCCTACTTCGGTATGCATTGAAATCTGTGGAGTAGATTGATCGGGGTTTGTGTTACTAACGTGCTCTCTAGAAGCGCAAGGCGCAAAATCGTGCAGCGCAGCGGGCATTCCGTGAGCGCAAGGAGAAGCATCTGAAGGACTTGGAGACCAAAGTGGATGAGTTGCAGAAGGCCTCTGACGATGCAAACCAGGAGAACGGACTACTACGCGCTCAGGTCGAGCGTTTGCAGGTGGAGCTCAGGGAGTACCGTAAGCGTCTCTCATGGCTGACTACCGGCAGTGGAATCTCTGCCATGAGTGCTATCCCAAGCGCTCATTCTAGGAATTTGTATGGCCTCAATAACAACGACTTTATGTTCGACTTCCCCAAATTCGGAGACCTTCCGGGAGGACACATCTTTAATGGCCCATTGACCAAGTCAAATCAAAACAAGTCTAGGGATGGTTCTTCTCCGGCGACAAGCGACTCCCAAGTTCCAGGTGTTATGACTCGGGAATCACTCAACGGATCAAACAACCAGAGAATGTCAACTGCCAAAGCCGCCAACGGAGTCTCCAACAATCCCTCTCCTAAGGTTCCATCGGTGTACAACATCAGGCAGTCCGCATCATCACATGATTCGTCCAATTCATGTTCTCCGTCAGCTTCATCGGACTCGCACCAGAGTCAGATACTGTCTTCGAATGGCACATCGCCGGAGCCGATGTCAAATTCGCCTGCCACGAAGCTTAATGACAGTGTTCAGAATCATCATGCTTGTACCTATAGCACCATTGATGGTGAGGCCTCCTTCTGCGCACAACTCGGCATGGCGTGCGGCAATATCAATAACCCTATTCCAGCTGTAAGAGGCAAAAGCGAGAGTGTATCGGATACCCCCAACCAACCCAACAGCAACTACGAACAAACACCCGGACCCGGACTTGACCTCCTGGCGCAGCAGAATGGAGGTCAGTTCGATCCAGTGCTGTTCGGAGACTGGCGAGAGCCTCAGGATGCAATTTTGTCGCAGGACTTCGGTACCTTCTTTGACGATGCCTTCCCCTTGCCGGATCTGGGAAGTCCATCTCACAATTTCAATGAGCTGGCCAACCAGCAGCTACCGAAGAAGGATTTGATTGCTGAGATTGACCATAAGATGGATGAGGAGGTGGTGCCTGGGGAGGACAAATCACAGATGTTGTCTTGCACCAAGATTTGGTATGTCCGGCTTGATGTGGGTTCATGGATTATCAATGACATACTGACTTTTATCTGCCATAGGGATCGCCTGCAATCTATGGAGAAGTTCCGCAATGGCGAAATTGACGTTGACAACCTTTGCTCCGAACTGCGTACGAAGGCCCGCTGTTCGGAGGGTGGTGTAGTTGTGAACCAAAAGGACGTGGAGGATATCATGGGTCGCGTCAAATAATAATTCTCGCCATCTAACTATAATACGCAATCGCGTGCTGCAGATTTTGATACCCATATCTATGATACAACACTGCAACTGGCGTCATCACGAGCAAGGGATCTGGGAACTATACTCGCAAAATTGAGTCACATTCGATCTGGAATATGTACCATCTACTTTTATTTTGGGATCAACATTATCCGACGACATGTATTTGTGAGGTATTTGTCATTTCATACTTTATATTTCCTTTTTCTCTTCGGTTTTTGGTTTCATACAAGGCGAATGGGGAGGCACAGTTTGGCTATAAATTCTTCACTGGTCTCGGCTTGGAAAGAATGTACACCGATGATCAGATCATGCATGTTTTGCTTCCCCTGACTGGCGTACAGTAAGTTGCCGGCTGGACGGCTGGTTATACAAAGAAAAATTTCGGATAAGGCGCATATGCGTTGTGCTGGATATGATCATATCCAAGGTCTGGGGTCTCTAATTTTATATACTTCTTAGTTCACGGGTTATGATGATTGTGCTTATTCATGACTGATTCCTTTTTCCCTTCTGTTAATACCATCAAGGGAGTTGTTCATGTTGATATTGAATTAATTTTTGAATTCTCTACTCTGACTTGGCAATGTCTACAATTTCCACGTAAACTTGAACCGTTCAAACCAATATCCCAAGACAAATGCTACAAGTAGATGAGAAAATACTAAAGAGATCTGTACTCGAAGCTCAGGGAACAATAAAGCTACAAGGGTATCGATATTGGTGCGTCCAGGAAGGTAGGAAAAAAAATGTAAAATACAAAATTTCCGTTGATGTTGACGCTTTGTTTATGATTTTTTTTCTTTGGATCCGTCGCTTTTTGTCTCTTTCCCTTTCATCATCGCACCATCTTCATCTCAACCTGCACTGCACTGAACCGCACCACCAACCTTCCGGTAGCTCGGGCTAAAGAATCCTAGGGGGTGACGAGCGTCTACTAGGAAAAGGAAATGAAGTGTAGTGTTTCACGTACATCTCGCTCAGAAGAAACCAAGGAAATGGGAAAGGAAAATATCACAAGAATAAAAATTAGGATATGAGGGACCGATGTGACTTCAACAGAACACACGGTGGAGAAAAGTTCAATGTGAAGACATGGCCGGCAAAAAAAAAAAAGCGTTAAAAGTTTTTCAAGACAGAAGAAACAAGGAAACACGTTAGACCGACTCAAATATGCTCAAGCATCGCCAGCCGCTGTGGGCTTCTCACCAGATGGTGTCGATGTCGATGGAGCAGGTGAATCCGAGGTAGGTCCTCCCTTGTTGAAACCGCCACGACCACCGCGTCCGCCGCGACCACGATCACCACGGCCGCGACCACGTCCACTGAATCCACCACGTCCCCGTCCTCCTTCACTGTCGCTGGCACCACCGCTCTGGTATCCACGCTGAGAAGTGTTGCCTCCCCGGTTGCTGCTCTGCCATGTGCCAGCATTGCCGCGGTGGCTACCACGGTCTTCGAAGAACTTGATGTTAGGCTTACGAGGTTGACCGGGGGGCGTGGGCTTCTTGTGCTCTGGGGGCTGACGATCGAGAGCAGCCTTGGCCTCTTCAACAGTGGTGAACATCACAACGTGGTTGTATTTGCCCCATTTGTCAAGCTTGATTATCTTTGCCTTGTCCTCCTCAGGGAACAGGTCACGAACCGCCTGCTCATTGTCAACGTTCGACACAAAGAGTCCGTTGCTCTGCTTCTTTTCGGGCCTGGGCATAGGCGACTCGGATGGCTTCTCAGGCTGTGAAGTGCCGTTGGCCTCTACAGCCTTTTCAGGTGATGTAGGAGCATGTTGCGAGGCAG